GAGAAGACAGACCCATCATTTTGCAGTAGATGGTGGATGCAGCAGATGGAAGGATAACAAAGTTTCACAGTATATGGGAGGATGTTAGGAAATGGTTTTCTGCAGATGAACTAGACAGCCGATGTCTCAAAGATGTCTTATCTTTTTTTAGAACTTTCAGGACCGCGTACACTCTGTTGATGGTGTGTTTATTGGTTTACAGAGTCCTCATGACCGCATAATGATTTCAGATTTGATTAAAGTGAAGCTTTGGAGCTGACCTTAAATAAAGCAAACATTAAATTAGTTTTAAAACTAGCTGGATGCAGAACAACAGTGGAACAGTGAGTGATAAATAAGTTTCTGCATTGTAAATTGAAGAAAACAGGAGTAGGGGAGGAGTGTTTTCCTCTATCACAGCACAAAGAGCACCAGTTTGTCTGATATCATTACTCATATCTGTTCTGGCTGCATGTGCCACTTTCTGCTGCTTGCTGCTTTTCTCTTCTTTTTTCTTTTCTTTTTTTAAAGGTATGTAGATAATTAGAAGTTACAACTTATGTGTTAAATCTCGTTAGTTTGTTCAGTGTTTGTGTCTGTCATATGATAGAGTGAAATGTTTCCTGTTATCTGTGTCTGGCTCCATGGTGCAGTGGTTTGCACAATTGCTAGAAAGTGAACTATCCTTTGTTTGAGCCCAGGAGGAGACATATGTCCCTTGGGGTTTGTGTAAGGAAGACCATCTGATGTAAAAAAAAGAAATCTGCCAAATTAAGTATGCAGAGCTACCTGCCATGGTGACCCTTTGTGAAGAAGGGAGGAGCTGTAAGAAGCTCTGCCGGTTCAAGACACAGTCTGCATATTTAAAGTATTATGTTACACATGCACTAACCGACCACTTCACTGGGAGCACCTTTTCAACCGCTTGTTGACATGAAAGCCTAGTCACCCAGTCACATGACAGCAACTCAGTGCATTTAGGCATGTCGGCATGATCGAGACGACAGCTGATTTAAGTGACTAGGTAAATACTAGAAGGGCTGGTCTGAGTATTTCAGAAACTGTTGATCTACTAGGATTTTCGTACACAACCATCTCTAGGGTTTATAGAAGATAGTGTGAAAAAGATCAAAGGAAAAGGCCTCATCAGGCCTCAATCCAATGGAGCATCTTTGAGAGCATTGGGAGATTGACATTGTAGCCTTGCAGCCATCAAATCTGCAGCAACTGTGTGATGCTATCATGTCAACATGGACTAAAATCTCAGAGGAATGTTTCCAGCCCCTCGTTGAATCAATGCCATCAAGAAAAAAAGGCTGTTCTGAAGGGGATCCCACCCAGTAGGTGTACCTAATTAACTGGCTGCTGAGCATATTTTAACACATTACTGGACTTACAGTTTACAACAATTTGTTTTAACCCTCACCAGCTCTGCTATCATATAACTGTGTGTAAGACTGCACAAGGAACAGACTAAATTTCTCTACCCTCCATTAAGATTGGATTAGTAGGAAGTATTCTGGCTTTTGAAAGAATACCCTCCAAAACACATAATTATCAGCAAAGTTAAGATTGGAATAATTGGAATTTGATGGGGAAACCTGAGTGATTGAGATATTATTAACAGCATTCAGAAAAGTTCCCAAAAGCACTAATATTAGCATTGTTATTAGCACAGACGTATGCAGAGGATCCATTAAAATAAAATCGGAGATCTTTGAGAACAGGATCAATCATTCACACCATTTCCACGATCTGGAGGAGAGCAGAGCCGATCCTCATCTTCAGGTTTGCCGTGTGAATCAAGACGCACAGCCTGTCACAGAGGATTTCTTTCACACAACGTCTGACAGCTTATGTTGCGTAAAAGCACGGCTTGGAGCTCTAACAATAAAGGACTCACAAAAACAGACATGTCAGTCATTGTCCTGACTTCTGCTCCCCTCTGCACACCCACATGTGCTCGCTGGTCATAAACCTGCACAAACCACATGCACACTGGTAAAAAAAACCCAAAAAAACCCCAAAACAACACGCTTTAAAAAACAAGCACAGCCACGGACTTCAAATGGGTTTCCCGGTCTCGTACGCCCACACAGATTATGCAGAGCACATAGACATATGCAAACACCGACACATGAAAACATGAAACCTCTACACACACACACACATTCACAAAGTATGGCATCCTTAGCCTTGACACTTTTACTGTTGGAAACAAGAGCACTGAGAGCCATTTCATTTACATGCAAATTGACACCCACAAGTCCACACACACGCGCGCACACTCTTGCCTGACGTGTATGTGTGTTTGTGTGTTCATGTGTGAGCCGTGTAGCTGCTCTGCTGGCACTCAGCAAAGGTGCTATACTGCCCTGCTGCTTTTCCCGCTCACTGAAACTAGACACAAAGAGATAGAAAGGCAGAAGGAGAGATAAAGGCTCTGATTTCATTTTCCATATTTGGTTTAGCAGCTTCTCAGTTGACAAAACAGGCATGGAGAGAAGCCCACCAGAGGGGGCCCCCTGTAGCCGTGCGTTTGTCATCTCATGTTGGCACTGCATAAGGACGGGTTCAGGCCTAGAAGTGTCCTCTGATCACATTTTCCCTCTTGTCACAAGGAGATAAAGGATCACTCGAGGTGATTGAGCATTTTACGATAATGAGCTGCGAGAGGCTGATCATCGCAGCAGGAAATGTGGCTGAAATACACGAGAAAAGAATGGGATGGATACAAAAACAAAAACAAAAGCGCGACACCCTTAACCTGACAGAATTAACCAGCTCATGCACAGAGCGATGGGTGGGTGGTAATGTCAGGTGGGAGAAAGCAGTGTAGCACCTCGCATAAAATCTGATATCTGTCACTCTCTGCTGGTTAGCATGAGACACTGCATCAAACCTTTCATGAAACCTTTCGTGCGTTTTATTTTAGTTCACATGTGTTCTTCTTAAATTGAATTAGGAATAATTTTACTTCATAATTTCCATGATCTACTGTGGGGCAACTATAAAACTGCGACTATGCTTTTCTCCCCCTCTTTGCAGGACAGCAAATATTAGTAATATTGTACAAGCTGAATTATGCTTGTACACTCCTTTTGTGCAAGCTATGGTGACTAACAGCAATGAATTTGTGGGTGTAGGAGAATGTTTTTTGGAATTATCTTATAATTAGCATAAAATTATATGTGAGTGAAGGGGGGGGGGGGAGAGAGAAAGATGAAGAGTGACTGTAGTGTTTGTTTGGTAGTTTTTGTCCTTTCATACCCTTTTTATATACATATGGTGCTGTGCAAAGGTCTTGAGCCATCCCTTATTTCTTTATAATTTGTTTGGAAAATGGACAATAGGTGTTTGTATAGTTCTAACAAGCTTCAATGTGAGAATTGACATTTATTCTTCAACACAGTCTCTCTTAGTTCTCTAATCTGACATTCAATGCTCTTCTTTGGATGTCGAGTGGCTTTTTTTTCTGTTCTCTGTGAACATTATAAATAATGTTGAGGTGCGTGCTCTGGGGAGGCCAGTCCATGACTGATAGCAATCCACTGTGTGTTTTTCTATGCAGGGATTCTTTCACTGCATTGGCAGTGTGTTTGGGGTTATAGTCATGCTGAAAAATAAAATTGCTGTCATATGATTGGTCTGCATGAGAGATCAAAATCTGACCGCAATTCAAGTTTGATGAGATCCCAGATTCCACTAACTGAAATGCAGCTCCAAAACACTGCAGACAGCAGACACGGTGTTTATCCTGGCCTCTTCCATATTTATTGTTGAAGATTTGAACCCAAAATTTCTAATTTAACTTCATTATTCTGTCTTTGACAAGGCTTTGGTGAACAGTCGATGATCAACTCAAGGGTCAGGATACATGGGTCCTGTGTCAGGTCTTTGCTGGATTTTTTTTTTCTGCTTCTTAAGGACATCACTTTCAGATACTAATCATATCCCGCAGATAGTTTTTCATGCCTATCACACTGCACATCACACTGAAATATGGCAAGTTTTCACCTAATAGCTCTTCAGGAATCACCTTGTTGGTACAAAAATGCTACTTTATCTTATGTTATGTTTTATAGAATCAACAAAAAAACACTAAAAATAACATTTCAAACGGTCAGGTACAATGACTGGACTAAAAATGATTTCTTTAAAAAAAAAGTCTTTCAAAAAATCTGGAGAACTATTGCTTGAGTCTGGTCAATTCTAAGCAAAATATAAAGAAATGATGGGTGGCTCAAGACTTTTGCACATTACTCTAAGCATGGGCCATCATACTACTAATACTGTAGTATGATGGCTGACAAATCTTGTATGCATGCCATCAGTTTGAACCCAAAATTTCTAATTTAATTTCATTATTGTTTGATGGATTAAGCCAATTGTTACAGGCATTATTAGTGTGCTGTATTCTCTGATTATCTGCAGTTAAAACCTTTCTAACAATATAATCTGCTAACAAGTTGATCTAATTTTAGCATTCATCTTTGCGTGCTTTGTCTGATAACACAGCAAATAAAACCAATTACGCAAAAACAAATCGTACGTACAGCACAATCCATTCTTCCCTCAATTAAAACAAATTAACCAATCAGTCACTGTAGGCTGATTTCATTTGCTATTAGGAGTCATTCGGCGCAGGCTGCAGTATAGAGTGGCAGCTAATCAGCGGCACATTTGATTATCTGTTGAGAGAATTATACACTCCTCGGTGTGAGGCACAGGCCGGGTTACAAAGATTATTTCTGTTAAATAGCTCAATGGCTAGGCCAATAGCCTCAATCCGATTTAGCTCTTTTGGCACCAGTAAACTGCGCTCACAACGAAACTTACATGGATCTTAATATATACCAGTATGCATATACAGCAGATAAACAGCTCAAGTGTTAAAATGGTTCTCTGGCATCTGAAGTTTTTCGTATGCTTGCATTTGTTTACTTATCATAATTGTCTAAGATTTGGGTCAGTTGATGCAGATTAGTGTATAAGACACAAGCAGTAACTGAAACCTTCACTTCATTGCGAGTAATATTTATTGTCATCTTTGTTAGGTCTGAGAAAATAAGGGTTTGATTCTGGGACTTTTGTGATTTCTTATGGACTGACTGTCCAGTAATATCAGTTCAGTTAATATACTATATTTGCATTGATAAAAACAATAAATCAAATAACAAAATCCTGTGTGCACTCCAGTTTAAAATGTCAAAGATAAATATCACCAAGTACATTCAGGATCACTAAAAGAAAACCCAGCAAAACTCTGAAGTCAATAACTTAACTGATATGCCACCGGCTTCATTTAGCAAAACTGTATCAGCTCCTTCATGCTACATCCTTTCTCACAGCAAATATCAGATATTTTTCCAGCAGTTCGCCTGATCCGTGATGACAGAAGGTGAGGAGCCAAGGAGACGGCGTCCTTTTCCCGGTCTGCCCTCGAAGCCGTGCGTACAGTCCCTGAAGTCAGGTACTCTTCTGTGGAGGAGATCTGCTCCCCTGTACAGAGGTAACACATCTGGGATTTAGAGAGAACACTGTAAACGTGCAGCTTCATCCCCAAAAACTCTTGCAAAATTTTGATGTCAAGAAGCAAGAGTACGTCTTTCCCTGTTTACCTTTCATATATGTCATGAAAACACAAATAAAAGATTGTTTAAGTACTTACAGAGAGGAGCGTATTGATTCTTTTTCCGTCCTAAATCTGGGATGCTTCTCCTGGCCCGGGAGCTGCCGCAGGATGAGACGGCCAGACGTATCAGCTCTCGTCCACATATCTTGATCCTCTCCTGTGCATGTGCCACACACACTGCAGCCACTAGCACCGCCACGAGAGACACCAAACACCTAGCAGCCGGCATTGTATGATGTGGTACTGCTCCTCAGTTGGTGGGCAAAGGCAGAAAATGAGTGACCTGAGGAATTTGAGGGAGTTTATATAGGGAGTGTGTGTAGTAGCCACAGGTTGTTCAAAAGTTGCATTCAGCCTTGGTGAGGGAAAAGCATGTCCTGATCAAGAGCTCAGCATCAAAGGGATGTGAAATCTCAAGGCTGGAACTCTCATTGAGATAAAAATCTGCTCTGGCACTGATCTTGTTTTTCAGGGTGGAAGTAACAAGTCACTACTTCTGCAGTTACTGTTGTTAAGCTGCTTTTCTTTCTTTTCTTTTTCTTTTTTTTAATGAGTATTATTATTGTGTTATTATCATTATGAGTATTATTTTGGCTCGGGAGAAAGAGCAAGTCCTTTCCCAGTCTGAAGGTTGGTGGTTACTTACACATAGAAAGAAGTGCATGCATATATATACATACGCTGACTTTTATATTTGAACCTCTGACCATGTTTAATATGGGCATCCACCAATGTCCACTTTCGGTGTATTTAAACAAAGACTCAGTGCTTATATTTGATTAGCTTTTCTGCTTTTAGTCATCTTTCCTGTTGTTTGTTTATATTGCAATGTGCAGAATCTAATCTGGGTTTGGTCCGTAATTAATTTTAAGCAGTTTACAGCAGTTTTGCTGATAAATCCTGCTCACAGAATACAGTATTTCTTTTTTTATATTAACACTCATTACATCTAAGTATTCATGCTTGAAAATTGCTGACTTGTGGTTAAAATGTTTTCCTTGAATATGAGTCCCTTTAGCATCTTATCTTAACACGTCATGAAGGATGGGATCTAATTGGAAGAGAGCGTGACCGGAAAAAGGAGATGTCAAGGATTATGACGCAACTGTTCACACACATGGTCACCCTGTGGCTATACTGTAGTTGCTTAATCATACCAGAGATGACTGCTTCATATCTCCAGCACAGATGAACAATATGAAAGGTGACACTTTAACATCTAAAATGCACTTCTGGCTATGATTAGCATTTTAACCTCTAATGACGATATCACTGGTAGGCAGTGGCCTGTTTGTTATTCTCAGCTGCTGTGCTCAGAGCCCACCTTGCTTTTTTTTTCTTTTTTTTTTGCCTTCACAGATTCTTGCCCTTTATTTCTTGCTGAGGGTGATGCTGTGTGTTAACATTTTCAACATTTTCAAGCCCAGCACACACAGATGTCAGTCAGTTTGCAGATGTCAAATAAGCTGAGTATGTTTACCTCATCATGGCACTGCCTTCTGCACCACAGTGGAATCAAAGCTTTACTGCAACGTATAATAACTCATTGTTTTCTCTTTTGCTGATGTTCTATCATATGCCATATATAAATATATGTATATAGATATAGATATAGATATAGATATAGATATAGATATACACACATGAGGACCACTTTTGCCTTCACCCTCACATTTTTTCTAATTCAGCCCTTGGTATTTCTCAAGCTTCTCAGATTCCTTCTTGATGTTCATCCATTGCTTCCTCTTCTTGTCAACTACTACTATGTGTTAGCCTTCTAAATTTTCTAAATTTTCTGATTTCTCTCCTTCTGGCTGAGTCATGTGATACAGCCATACTCTTGAGGTGTAATTGATGCTGGCGACACAGTAAAGCCAACAGTCACTACCTATATTCTGTAATAGCTTCATTCCTCAGAAAGATAAGATAGGTGTCCACTAATAAATACGGACTTTAAGGTTCTTTTACATTAACTCATTTTGCATAAGCGAGGTCTGCTGAAAGACAGTAATTTTTAATGACAAATAAATGGACTTTCTCATTTTTGTTTTTGAGTTTGAAATGGGGATACGTTTATTGTAATGAAGTAATTGTGATGTGACCTTCTTCTTTTACCTTAATCTTCAAAATTGAAACTTGCTGGAACTGTTGTTTCTTTCAGGCAATATCATAAAAATGTAACCATCCAGTCTGATAAAAATCGCCTAAAAGTTTGTTGACTTTGTACACAAATGATGTTTTATAAGCTTTCTCCCCTGAAAGCTACACTTCCACCACTGTCGCAAAATTCTATCATAACTGAGTCACGTGTTTTTCCCTTACTGTAAACTGAACCACAACACTTGCACTTACTTTCCAGTATAAACTTTGGTATTATTATCATTTAATTCATTTTTTTAAAACATTTTTGAGCATGTGATTTTTCTCTTTTGCGCCACATCTTGTGCAGAGACAGTGTGTGTTTTTAAAAAAATCTTAAATTACTGATATAACATGTAATCTTTAAATTTCCAAATGAAATCATGTCAGTCGCCATAGAAACCTTCCTTTTGTTCTTCAGCTCTGAGAGTAAAATGAATACACATTAACATTTTTTGTCATCACTCATCAAAAATACAGCCACTATACCTCAAGCTAGCAGACAGGTTGAGATCCAAATTGCACAGGAACAATTTGTGCATTAAATCTGTTGAGCTGTTTGAAACGTTGAATTTGTAATTACCTGCCACTTATTAATAGTTATTCCTTTTATGCTCACTTCTCTTCTGTACCACAAACACAACTCTATTGACAGGGATGGGACAGAAAAAACGACGTGTGCAGACAGGATCATGTGGTGAACCCGTCTGTGGCATCAGAATCATCCAGAAAGACCAGAAAGACTGCAGAGCATGAAAACTGAACTGTTTGACAGTGTTTTATATTAAACCTCCTATCAGATATAATTACTCAATAACTGAAGGTGCCACCGTTCCGGACCACTTTAACCCCAGATCAGAGGGTAAATTAGACACATCTGACACTACATTTGATCGCTCGCTCGTTAATTAGTGCACTTGCACAGAACTTAATGACAAGGAAACATTAGTCACTAATGATTCATTGTCTCTGATTATTATTCAAATGGATGAAGTCACAGTCTGCTGTAAAATGGTTGTTCAGGATGTCTTTCATGAGCAGAGGCTCAACACAATATTCCTGCAGTTGGAAATGGAGTGTAACTCCCACAGCATCTGTCGTGACTAACCAGAGAAACTTGTCTCTAATCCCCTCTATCTGTCCCTCTTATTTAAAACCAGTGTCGAGCAGATGAGCCAAGAAAACTGTGGTGTCTGTATCCGCGAAGAGTTTTTGTATGTTTGTTTAATACGTTATAATGCTGTTCTTCTGGTGCCCAGGGCAAGACTTGGGTTTATGATCTAATCATAGCATCACATTGTGACGACAAGGCTTAGACCATGATTGATCCTGACATCTCCTGGTCAAGAACGGAAAGCTCAATTCTCTTTCGCCGCAGGGATCGCGACAAATTCTGAGCTGTTGGGTGACAGATATAGGCATCACTGCCCATGTGTTTGTAGGAGTGAAAAATCACTACGCTGGAGGCCTCTATTGTACGTCTATTAAAAATGGCTTGTATTTAAATACGTCCTGTCTGCGCACACCTGATCAGATTCCTTCTGTCACCAAAATAGCACAGTACTTGATTGACTTTTCCACTTGTCTGACTAGGTAGGAAACAGACGCACAAATCCTACTAATCCTTGACAACCAAATTACACTGAGGCTCCTGATCGGTATACTGACACCCGCTGCTATATCTCTCACCCCACTTGGGTGTCTTCAAGACCACACTGAGTGACTGGACAAAAAACAGAGGGAGTGCTTTTTCGATAGGTATGCCACTTCGATGAAACATAAATTGTGTCAAATGTGAGAACTTTCCATTGATGGTGTTATAGTTGTTCTGAGATGCACACACAAATAAAATGTTTTTATTGCAGCCAAGCAAATGGTGACTTAAAGCCGCCATGATGTGTGGCGGTACATGCTGGTAATGGCCAAAAGCTGCACTAGTTAGAGCTTGAAGGTACAATTTCTTTTTTGCTGAGCATCAAAGTAAAATGTAAGAGACTATGTAGTCACCAAAACTGTTCATTAATAGCACTTTCAATGACAGTAGTCTTTTCAAAATGATATAAGGGTAGTTTTGCTTCATTCATAATGTCACTGCTTGACCTCATTGGGTCAAACATCTATTTCTGTTGAGTGAGCATTAGTTGTAGACGTGTGCTATTTGTGGAAACACATAACAAGTTGTCTAGTCTGAACATCTTGTCCACTTGACAGAGGAATTGTCGCTATAGTGTGAAAACAGTACGTACTGCAAAGCTGAGGCTTAATGCTTGTCTCAGCTTTCTGCTTTCCCCCATCAGATTGTTTTTATTCAATCACATAGGCTGAGACTTAGAGGCAGATGGAGTCTTTTACTTTTGTATACCCAAGGGTGATAAGGCCATTTAGGGTTACTGAGGTCACAACTAGGCAACTTTTCTTATTCCTCACTCTCGTGGGAAAATCGCCTGTCGCTGGGCCGATAGTGTATCTCATCATCCGAGTCCTCGGGCCGGGGTTCGAAGCAGCTGTCAAACTTACGCCTGAGACGTTTCTTGAGCTGGAAGGTGCGCACCGTGTTGGAAAAGTTGTATTCCTGCTCTTTCAGTTTGGCATAGTAGTCGGAGAACTTGTTGAACAGAATGGAGATGGGCATGCCGTTAAGGATGATGCCGAAGGAGATGCAGCCGAATGCCACACAGCGGCCGAGGTAGGAGATGGGGACAACATCTCCATAGCCCACAGTAGAGATGCTGACCTATAGGGAAAAAGGAATAGCGTCAGCTTCCATAAAATTACTCAAAGCCAGTGCTCTCTCGTGTAGATTTTAAGTAGGGATCAAGAGAAGAGCAGAAGAAGTTTTCAGTTTAATCCTCACAGTACCTGCCTTTCACCTGGCCTCACGCACTTTGTATCCATTACTTTCTGTGAATCGAGTAATTAAAATGCTTTTTTTTGTACTGATAAACTGACATTTTGGAAGTTTGGAATAAATAGGCTCAAAAAACCTTCCAGGAAAGTAGTGCTACATTTTATATTTCTTGAATGCAATCACTCTGTCTGGCTACAAATGAGACGCATCACGCAGCTTTAGAGGGAATTAGACACATATAAATTCACAGCTGCCACCAGATAAATGAAAACCATGTCCTCAGATGATACTGAAAGACACACAGAGTACCAGGCTGGTGACACAGTGTGACCCATGTGAACCTTCCTAGAAATGGTGTGATATTCATACCTCTAAATATTGATCATTTGCATAAGTTACTGTTTAACCATATGACAGCTTGGTGGCCATCAGTAGCCACTCTCCACATCTGTATAGGCTAGATAATTTATATCAAGTTTATGTGACCCTGGAGTTACTCCACATCTTTCTCTTCATTTCAGATATAGTACCAATTATGGAAGATACTTTGGGGTAAGAATTACACAAAGGAAAATCCTACATTTATTATAGTTAGTAGGTTTTTCTGCAAGAGAGACAATTTCAGAATATTATTTAGCCAACCATTAATTCACTAAAGAAGACTGTGTTTGAGCTCTTGAATATAATCAGTGTTTACTGCATTTTAAAGGCAGAAAAATAGCACGGAACATGATCTGTACTGTGAATCTTTGCTTTGGTCTGACTAAGCAGGCAGCACAAATCCAGATAGACCTAATCCCTGACACCCGGAATGCACTGCACTGCTTGATCATACTGACACACCCTGACTGAGCTTCCCTTCAGCGCTGTCAAGAGGAAGAGCTTATCAAACTTCATAACTGAGTTAATTGATCCGGAAGAAGCTGAGTGGCAGCCGGTGAGAGCTGGCTACACGCTCTAAATGCTGTAAAACATTAATTGCCCCATTCATAATGAAAAGATGTGGAGCAACTGTGGTGTTATAAGTAGGGTTACATCATCAGTGCGGCTGGACCTAAAAATTGGACTTGAAAATATTTTCAAAAATAATTTACAATATCATCACAGCTGCCATTAAAAAGAAGAAATAATTCCCAGAAAGTTAAAACTTTTATAGAAATCATTAAAAGCCACAAAAAAAACAAATCTGATGTTTTAGTTATACTGCATTTGTAACAAGCATCCCAAACATATTAGAGTAATAGAACTTCACTGGATGTAGAGCTTGTCCCGTACTCACCGCAGCCCACCACCAGGCATCTGGTATGCTGCTGAACGGTGTCCCGGGCTGATCCACCTCCACAGAATGCATCAGAGCAGAGAAGGTGAAGATGCCCATGGCGATGAACAGAAACAGACAGCACACCTGCAGCACGACAGAACAGAGCACGTCAACGACAGCGCTTGTTTATATGAAACTATGTCATAAAGCAGATACTATTTTAGGGGCTTGCATCCAGTAATATGAGATGTTACTATAAAGCCTTCCTGACATTTCTGCACTCGATAGGCTGTGTAAGCTTTGTTCAATTAATGGGTTTTAAACACATCATATGCGATGAAACTGTTCTGTTTTTTGTTAATTAAATGAATAAATGTGATATTATGTTACATTAGTGAAGTTTAGAGCTGCTGGTAGGTGGATTTTGTTCTTTAAAATAAGCTAATCATCTAGTGTCGCTCTCTTCAAGAAATATAATATGCAAATTTAAATAGATTGTGATATCCTATTGTAAAACTATCATAACGTTCTTCTCTACTTCTCTTCTCCTAGTGGTGACTTTCACATAAAACTACCTCCTGTTCCTCTTATGTCTCTTCAGAGCCTTGCAGGTTGCCATGTTATTCAAAGGCCTTCAAATGTTACCAGCATTTGTGTTTATTGATATTCCCTTCATACCTGCTCAGAGCACTGGCGGATGGTGAAGCCGAAAGCCCTCATGCCGGTGGAGTGACGGGCAAGCTTCAAGATACGAAAGATGCGCATGAGCTTGACCACTTTGAGCACCTTGCTGACTTTGCTGACTCTTGACATGGTCTTCAAATCCTCCTGAGCACTGATGTCTTCAGCGTCTATTACAAAAGTCTCAAACATGATCTGGAGGAAGTAGGGCATGACGGCTACCAAATCGACAAAGTTGAGGGCGCTCTTTACAAAATGCTTGATGTTTGATGTGGTGAGTAGTCGCAGAAAGTACTCCAACGTGAAGAAAAGGATAGAACTAACCTCCACCCACTCCATGTAGGTTTTGCCTGCAAGTTTGTACTGCCTAAGTTCTTTGACTGTATTCAGAGTCATGGCAACGATAGAGATAAGCACAAAGAGACTGGAAAACACTGCAAAGGCTTTGGCTGACAGTGAGGAGTAAGGATTCTCCATCAAGTCCCAAAGTGCTTTACGAAAGTTTCCAAGAAACATGGTCTTGTAGCCCTCGTCATCATGGTGAGGTTTAATCTCATCGATGAGCTCCTGGTTAACCTTCAGGTGTTCTCTGATGTCGTCCAATTTCTCCTCAAACAGAATGCGGCAGCACCTGAGAAAGACAGACAAATGCTTTACCATAGCTACTTTTTAAATATCCACAGACCAAGCCACAATAGATACACTGCATATCAAATATCTACAGCACACCTTGGAGTATCCTTCAGTTTGAGCCCCCAGAATGAGATCTCTTCCTCAAAGTTGACAGGACACAGGCCATCCATCACCCACAGAACATTACTGCAGTAAAAGTGAAATATGTAATGGAAAAACATGGGGTCCCTGTCAAAGAAGAACTCGTTGTTCCGAACATTATAATCGTCACAGAGCGTCAGACGCTTAACTGGATCATTGCACAGAGCAAGGACTCCGATCCTGGTCTTTGGGTATCGGAGGACCAAGTGTTTAGGGATGTGAAACACCTTTCCGCCCACATTTAGGTTGACAATGTTTGATTGCCAGGGGTTTGGTGCATCCTTCTTCTCATCTTTTTTCACCTCTTTTCTGGCACCAGGAGCGTCAAGGTTGTCCATAGATGTCCACGGTTTTACTGAGCTGTCCTGTGAAAAGGGGAATTCACTCTCCTCTTCTTCGATGCTTTGCGTGAAACTAAAGTCGCGTTTTATGGTTGCAAAAAGACTGGAGCGACGTTTTTTTAGAATTTTCCACTTCTCCATTGCGACAGCTGCTCAGAAGACCAATCACTGGAAAATGTTTTATGCCAAGTTTGAATCAAATCACAGGAGAAAAATGATAATATGTTTTTTCTTTAAATCTACAACATCAAGCAAAAATATCACCATTGTCAAAAAAGAAAAAAAAATCCTCCAGGTTGAAATAAAGACAAAGAAAGAGCTGTGGTACTTTTGAGTCACTGTGCAAGAAGATCAACTGCATGAGTTAGGGCTTCAGCCTCTTCACTGATTCTCTAATCCTATTGCTGTTCTTTCTGTCCCAGCGCAAGTTAAAAATACTGTTCACAAGGATTAGTGTTGTGATTTAAGGCTTTGACTTCTGAGAGAGGAAGAAACGCAGAGAGGGTGGTGTCAGGACAGTATTGCATGGCTAACAAGGCTACAGAGAGTTTTTACACAGGATATTCAGGTAGATTACGCAAATTATCAGCTATGGCCTTTTTGACCTATTGCTGAACTAGTTAAACAAGCCTGATTTTAGAATTAAAGTCAAAATACATTAAAATTAATAATGACTGATAAAAATTTTCTTTGTTTTCTGTATATTCTGCACAAACCCTTAACCGTATTTTTAGGCTCCACAACAAAATCACTGTTTATCACTGATATGTTTCTCTTTACAATAACTCACTGGTATAATTACAAAGTATTCATTTCAATATTAAGTCAAGCCAACTAAAAACAAAATATTGATTATATAACAGTGAATTTATTTAATAATGTACCGAATCAGTAACCTTTTTGATACTGACTTTGGATAAATAGGCTGTGTTTTTTGACTGATATCACAAGCATTTGTAGTTACTCCAATAATTCAGTATTCGAATTGACTGTATGTACGCACAAAAAAAAAGAGATACAGTTACACAGAGACAAATCCCTCTCTCTGTTTCTGCACATTAAAATAGTTTTGGAAACTCTGTGAATAATGGTTTGGCCCAGGTTTCCACCATGGGTGCTTCGAATGGTATTTCCCAATCTACCGGAAAAGAAGGTAACTACGAATGTATAATAGTTTTTATTAAAGTTTGTTATTGTTGTTATTATTTGTAAGTTTATATTCTGTTATTCTGTTAATTTGATTAAAAAATAATTTAAAATTTAAAATTTTAATAAACTAAAAGATTACAGTTGCCATATATGCCGTCCGTGCACCACGTGACTTCCTTTCCGGTCTAACCTGACAACATGGACGCCAGCCGCGTGCAGCCCATCAAGCTTGCAAGAGTAAGAAAATCTATAAAACGCTGAAAATTATCGTATCAAAGCGATTAGATGCCCACAACAATAAGTATTGTTTCAAATGGGCTCAAAATCTTTAGGCTAAATCCACTTTTTGTGTCGTAGTTAGCAAACGTCTCTTCGGCTCTCGTGCTTCTATCATGGAGGCCTGTCAATGCTACAGTCTCTGCTAGCTGCTGCAGTACTCACTTTTCTTTATTCTCTGTGTTCGTTAAAAAATTATATATATGTATTGTATTGATTTTAGAGGTTTGATGTTCATGTTGCTCGTGTTTTCATTTTCAGGTCACCAAGGTTCTCGGGAGAACCGGTTCCCAGGGACAATGTACACAGGTATGCTAGTTTGGCTAACACCTCAAATTTTATCCGGCACAAACCAGCAAATCTGCGATTAATATTTACTCTTTATATGTGTAAGCTTAATTTGAGTTATTGCCAAGGATATACACAATCTAGGGCTGTAAATTCATGTGAAATTAAAAACTAGATTTCTAAACAAAGGAAAAAATAACTGAAACGATATTTTGTACCTCCTAAAAGGGCTAGGATGAAAAAGCAAGTTTCGTGTTGTCTTAGATGATTTGTTTACACATTAAGTATGAGGTATTGAGACAGCTGTTTGAAGTTTGGACATCGATTTAGCTGTAAGTCACGGGTTTTGTTTGTTTCTTTAAAAACAAAACAAAAAAACTTGATCTGAGCTGATTTTTTTTACTCCTGACAAATATCCCCCATAGTACTGTAACTAAACGTTGAAACTGGGCAGATTCACTCTACCAACTAACTGAAACTAAGCTGAATTATTATCAGAAGTTTAAGATGAAAAACTGATTAAGCTACAAAATATGACTCCTCTGATTTCTTTTACCACAAAGGAGGCAGGTTATTTTGGGGGGGACAAAGTTTTAACCTGGATTTTAACTACTAATGACATACTCGGACAAGCCACTGATCCTAACTGGAAACCACGTTTAATAGAGAAACCAGATGTATCTTTAAAATGTATCAATGCTTTTTTTTTTTTTTGCTTGCCACCACCAGTGTGTGAATGGCAAGCTACATTGTGGCTACAATGTAGCTTGCCTTAGGGACTAAGTAAAGCGCTATACAAATGCAGGCCATTTAACTCAGTTGTCATTTAGTGTGCTGTTTGGTGTACTGGTTACTTGGGCTAATGATGACAATTTATGTTACATTCATAGCTGCACCCAACTTAAGCCCCTTTTTTTCTACAATCTGTGTAGGTACTATTGGGAAAAGGGTCTATAGTTAAGTTAACATACATGTGTTTATACTATAACTGCTGTACCACTGTGCTGCCCACTAACTGAGTACTTTATTACTAAAATGTGTGTTCACTTGATTGTTGGGTGTTCACTTGATCGCTTTTACAGCATTGCAGAGTGAGATCCCCAGATACTGTTTTCTGACAGTGAAACAGCAGGGAACGGAGTCGGGGTCCCAAAAATTAAGCAGATTATAAAAATAACTTTTTTTTAAAAATGCCATCCGAATAGATTTTTAGGTATTGTACTATATCACCCCACAGTTACTCCTTGTTGAAATTGATTATCATGACCATTGGTTTATTTTCCATGTTAAGTGGATAGTTTAAACAGCTGAACAATTTCAAAATAAATAAATATATATTTTGAATCACGGCTGCTTTGCTCCCTTGCCACAGAAATAGGAATGCATAACAAAAACAAAATGAGGAAAAATCATTATAGGCTGTCTGTAAACATTAAAACAAAACCCTCTTTAATTGGTACATCATTAATTTAAACAGAAAAATTTGTCTGCTGTAGAGTCATTTTAATGTTTAAGTTTTGGGCGCTCTCGTTTCCCACCAGGTCCGTGTCGAGTTCATGGACGACAGCAACCGCTCAATTATCAGGAACGTGAAGGGCCCAGTCAGAGAGGGAGATGTGCTGACACTCCTGGAGTCTGAAAGAGAAGCCAGGAGGCTGCGATAGGTGAGACAATATAACCTCAGGTGATCAGTGTTTTGAGTCATTAAACTGTCAGCATTGGTGAAGCCCACAGTGAGAGTGCTGATGGATAATATGCACTTGACCTTAGATACTTTGATGCTGAACATTATTGTTATTAAAAACTTAGTGAACCAAGAACAGTTTAGGATAATAAAACACTGCGGGGGAGGTGATGACAATGTTTGCCATTGTATTATAGTTAACAAGAAGTAAAAAATATTTCCATAGTACTAACATGCACTATGGGAATATTTATATTGCTTATATAACCTTATAAGGTTAGAAAAAAACATTAAAAATGGCTTGCAGTAAATCACATTGCGGGTCGATCTGTTTTTGGCTTTGAAATGTCCATAACGAGTCTTAAACTCAACCTAATGTTCTAAGTTCTCAATTCATATATCTGCAGTATTAGATCATAATTGCATCTGAAGCTCTTATCTAGCTCTTATCTAGTTAAAGTGTAACAGAGCTGCACAAAGTTTGCCTGTTTTCAGTGTGTAGGGAATATATCCCATGGTGGTCAGGGGTTGATGTTTGAATTCTTCCTTCAGTCCTCCCGATAGGCTGCTCATGTCTAATGCTGCTCAATTCAGAGCGTATCAGTGTTCTGAATTTGGGAATGTATAAGACTTAAACACAGGCTTAAACCCTTCTCACTTGCTTTGTCTTCACAGTGCCCGCTGAAGCTGCCAATCCAACACTGTGGAGCATCAACTACAGCAGGATGCAGTCTTTTTCAGTGGACTACCCGCCACTTGTTCAGATGTTTTGAAATAAATTTGAGTTGAAAATTATCCTTGAAGTCTTCTTTCTTTTATACTAAGTGATTTTGTTTTTAATTCAATAAACTGGAACATTAGCCTGCCATGATAAACTTGCGTGAGACAAGTAATAGCTCATTATTGATGCATTAATAGTAGGTGAGGTGTGGCTGTCAAATTCTTGTACGCTGAATGTGAATTAAGCTAAATAATCCAATACGTCTATATATTTAGTTACTCTGAAGTGTCAACTTCTCAAGTCTATTATTCCATTACAGTTCAAAAGTATCAAAATAGACTCGTTTTAAACTACTCTTTCAGAGTAAATGGATGTTAGTTCTTTCAACTGCTTCCTTTAGAGGTCATTACATGGAAAACATCTACCACCATCTCACCCTGTCCCTAACATCCTCGTCTGTCATACAAACTCCTTGCATGTCCTTTATCATGCCCTTGAACATCAATTGTCAAGTATATCCACCTTCACTCCTGTGCACGTGTCCAAACCATCTCGCCTCTTGACCTCCAGCTCCTGTAAATAATTCTGTAATTACTTTTTCCCAGACACAGATAAGTAGATTTTTTTTAAATGGAAATAAGCAAACAATGCAAGGCTAATATAGCTGTTTTCTGTTGCACTGTTGTGTATGAAAATTAAGGAATTTCCACAAATTTAGCGGGCACGACATTATTTCACCTTGTGCAGTTTACGTTCCGTCCAGCAGAGGGCAGTGTCTGAGTTTTAAAAGCTAACGGAATTGACCTCCATTTCAGGTACAACACAATCGACTGCATGTAAGAAGTAAGCAAGTGCTGACTATTTACAGGCCAAGCTCTCTCCTTTAAACTAACTTAAACATTCATGCCACCGTTCATTTCCAGCAGTGTTGTTTCTCCATCATAAACTCTAATAATAATGGGACAAGCTGAAAAAAATCCGCACAACATAATTTATATCATTAAAAATCATTAGAATTTGTCT